ATGGAGAGAGACTCTTGACAAGGGCCTGGAGTGACAGGACAAGGGGCAATGGCTTCACACTGACACAGAGCAGGGTTAGATTGGATATTGGGAAGAAATTGTTCCCTGTGAGGGTGGAGAGGCCCTGGCACAGGTTTCCCAGAGAAGCTGTGGCTGCCCCATCCCTGGCAGTGTTCCAGGCCAGGCTGGATGGGGCTTTGAGCAAGCTGGGATAGTGGAAGGTGTCCCTGCCCATGGCAGGGGGTGGAATGAGATGATCTTCATCTCAGGCCAGATGATCTTCCAGCCCAAACCATTCTATGATAATGTGATTCTATCACTCATCACCACTCAGCCTCAAGCATGGGGCTTCATAACAAGGCTTATTTTTTAAAAACACCATCACTTTCTGATTCACTCCTGAGCAGCCTGATGCCTTATGAGGCGGGCTTTGTTTAGATATCTGTCAGAATCTTTTTTTATGGTGTGGAATCATCCTGCAAATGAACTCACACAGGAGCAAACTCAGACTTCCTAAAGCTGACTTCTTGGTTGTGTATTGCAAGGACCCACTGCAAGGACTGGTTTTGGGATTTTACAGGAACGTACTTGCTCTGGTGGTGCTCTGTTCTCCTCAGGTGTTCCCTTCTCTGACAGTGGCCCTTGGTGTGGTGCTCACCCCTCATGATAAGGGGAAAGGTCACTCTCTGCTCTCTGCACTTGGTGGCCAGCAGCACTCTTGATAAATATATTCTTGCTGTGGTGTTTTTATAAGGTCTCATACTAAGTCATCCAATCATGGGAAACCAAAAACGGCTCCCATTCAGAAAAAAAAGTCCTGTGTGTTAAAGTCCTGAATATGCTCAGGGGTGGATTGACACTTTGTTTCCATTTCTGATGATATAGCTGCTTTTAATGACAGAAGAAAGCTCAACCCCAATGTAATACAGAACATTTTCTGCTCTTCCCTGCCCAGCCATTCTCTTATTGCCACATTTTGTGCCTTTCCAGCCCAGTGATGTGGGACATATAGGCAAGGCAGGGACATCTTTTCTCTCCAGGCTGGTCCTAATGGCACAGCTATCATACGAGTGAGGGCAGTTTCTGCTTCCTTCTTCACAGAGGTAATTCCCAAGCTCTCCTCTTCCCTCTGTCTAGCAGCAGGACTGGGTCTACTCCTTGGCTTTTTTGATCACAGAGGGCTCATATTTAAGGCTTTAAAAGGGAACAGGACAAAAAATGAAACAATATAACAAGAGGGAACCAAAGGCATTGTCATCTTCCATCAGCTCTCAGTATTCTTTGAAGCATGAGATTTGATTATCCCGGTCACAAAAAATGCCTAATAATACTGAAGGATATTAGCAAGGCTCATAAATCAATGTTAAAAGATTAAAAGCTTTTAAAGGATTCTTTTCCCCCTCAAGAAAGAAAGCCCAACTGTCAACACCACAAGCTCACCTTTGGTTCCCTCTGTTGACTCTTTCCATGTCATGAACCAGAATGATTGACAGAGCTCTGCATGGAAAATTTGGGCCAGAACATCTCACTTTATCTTCTGCCTCCCAAGGCCATTAAATGAGGTGTGTGGTGACATCTGCACAACTCATTGGTGCCTTTAGGCAGCTCAAAATGCAGCTGTAATGTTTCCAGGTTGGTTTCCAGGCTTAGATGGATTGAGATTACAGTGCTTGTGAGGATCAAACAACCAGGACATCCTTTGCCATTGGATTTCACAATGGTTTTTATCACACAAAATGTCTCTTGCAGGTAAGGAAATTTTGGGGCTCACTCAGGACACTCACAGGAATGATGCCATGCTCAGAAATCCACTGTGCTTCTGCATCCATTGATTTCAATCAGGACTTTCCAGGTTCCCTGGTGGCAGTGTTTAAAGCCTGTTTCACTGTGTAAAGCCAATGCTTACTTTTAAAATCCTGTTTCACATTCACTTCCATTCAATACGAATATTTTTTGTAATCCTCACAACACACAAGGACTTTTAATCAACAACTTGATTCTTTCTTTCTAAAACAAAACAAAAAAGAAAGAAAAAAAAGAAAAAAAAAAAAAAGAAAAATGCTGTTCTTTCTCACAACAGTACCACCAGACTTCCCACCACAAAAGGCTGCAGAGTTTCTTGCAATTTTTAGTTTCCCTATGAAAAAAATTTGTTCCTGAAGAGAACATTTCAGTGTGGCTTTTTGGGGGGATTACAAATTCAACTTCTGCTGGCCATTTTCTGTAATATAGAAGGTAGGAAATAGCACCAGCCTGACTTTGAATTGAGCAGTAAGTTGGATTCTTCCATTCCTCAACATTTAATTGAAGCTACTTAGAACTATAATGTGCAACATATGACCTTCTTGCAAGCCCTAGTTACACTCCCATTAGTCTGTGTTCTTTAACAAGATTTTATTGACCCCATGGCTAATAGCCCACTTAGAAAGATCCCTCCCTTCCTGCTTGTCAGTAATGGTAGTTGGATTGCAAAGAGAAATTCCACAGGTCAAAGCTATTCAAAATGAGGAGGGGGGAGAGCAATATCCCATTTTGTCCTTTTGCTGTGATGGAAAAACAAAGGTTGCTATCATTTGTCCCTTTATTTTTTTTTTTATTATTATTATTTCTGTGCCTGGTGTGCACACAGCTCCCAGTGAGGATTTGGGTTCTGCTGTGCTAAGGCATCTCTCAGAATGCAGCAGCCTAAGGAGCTGTGACAGGCAAAGGAAGCACTTTTAAGTCCCGTTTTCCAGATGCAAAAGCAGAATATGCAGCCTTGCTTGCAATCCTGCAGGAAGGCAAGGGCAGAGCAGCACCGCGATCTCGGGCCTCTGCTTGTGAGATCTGCATTTTCAGCCCTCTCCTGAGCATCCTTTGGGCTGGGACAGGCGAACAAAGCTTTGCCCAGGGGCGGGGGAGCGCTCCCTCGCTGAGCTGCTCCTGCTCAGCAGCTCCGAGCTCCCGGAGCACTCTGCAGCAGCCCTGTCACCCAGGCAAGGAATTCACTGCCATAAGAGGATATTGAGTCAAAGGCTGTGTCTCAGTTTCTCGAGGGGTTGGAAAACAGCCTGGTTAGTTTAAGTGATGGGATAGCCTTTGCTTTTTTTGTGGGACTTTAGTTTTTACAGGGTCCAGGGCCGGGTGCTGATGATGAGCTGCTTAACTTGAGACAGAAAATGGTGCTTTATTTTTCGCTGGAAGAAGACCCTCTCTTTTTATTTCGTGTTTTGATTGTTTCACCTGGGAGTGGCAGAAGGAGACTTTTCTTTTGCTCAGAACTTCACCAGAAGTTTCTCACAAAACTTTCAGCATATGTGATGCTGGGAAAAAAAAACCAACCCAACCCAACCAAAAAACCCCAACCAACCAACCAAACAAAAAACCAACAAAAAAACCCACCCACCCTTGTAGCAGGATAGACAGGAAATCTGTTTGTTTCTTGCACTTATGTTTCCACAGGGCTGGTGAATGCTAACTTGCTGTGATTGCAGCACTGCCGGGGTAGAGAATTTTAGAATCTTTTTTACTCTAGTAAAGAAATTTAAAATAAACCACAACATCATCATAAAACCTCACCCGAAACAACAAAGCATGGGCATAAGGGGAAGGGAAGAAGAGACAGAAACCACCGGGGAGGTCAGGTGGTTAAGTATTTTTGGACTGTCAAGGTGGTGATCTTAAGTGAAGATAATGTATTATGCAGTGGAAAGCTAATGAGACCAGGTCTGTTAAACACGAACTTGGTGTTACTTAGCCCTGGAGTGCTTCAAATTACACAGGCACGGGTTGTATTTGATCACCGCTCCCGCTCTGACAAAGTGAGCAGCAGGCTTTTATATAATGTAAGCGATCATATACTGTGGGGAGCAATCCTGTGCTGGCAGGGGAGGCCAGCTGATGACATAATGGGTCTTCTCCATCTCGAACTTATGTGATTCATCAATTAAACGAATTCGCTGGGATAAAGCAGCATGAAAGGGCACTGTCCCTGCCTGACGATTAACCCTCCCAATTCCAGCCGCTCCGCTGGGGCTTCAGCCTCCACTATTGTGTCCAGGAGGCTCCGGCTGCGCAGCCCCGTCCAGTACCGAGCCGGGTCGGGGGCTCCGGGCACTGCGGGCGCAGCCGGCGCCCTCCGGGGCCGCAGCCGGGGTCGGTGCGGGATGCGCGGCCCCGCTCCGTGCGGGATGTGCGGTCCCGCTCCGCCGCAGGTGCTGCGGGGGACGAAGCGCTGTCCCGCCGTCCCTCGGCGCACCTGTCCGGGCTGCCCAGGATCCCGCTGCCCCATCCCGCAACTCCATCCCGCAGCCCCATCCCGAGGCAGCCCCGTCCCGCTGCCCCATCCCGATGCATTTCCATCCCGCAGCCCCATCCCGCTGCCCCATCCCGCTGCCCCATCCCGCACCTCCATCCCGCAGCCCCATCCCGCTGTCCCATCCCGCAGCCCATCCCGGGGCCGCCCGCATTGCGTCGGGGGCGCGGCGCGCAGCGTGCGGGGGCGGCCGGCCCGGGGGCAGCGCGCATCCCTCCCTCCCTCCCTCCTCCGCCGGCTCCGGCCCCCGACTCCCCCGCCCTCCCGATCCCCGAGCTGCACCAAACAGCTCTCAGGTTTCTGCTGATACTGCAGCGTCAAGAAATGGCTCGAGTTTGCTCCACGCTCTTATGCATTCAGCAGCCCTCTCGCTCCTGCCACACGCGTCCAGCTCCTGCCTCCTCCTGCCTCCGCCGCTGCTGCTGCCGGGACGAGCCAAGACCGACTCCGGGGATGCGGCTGCAGGGCTGCGGCGCTCTGACATCTCCCCCGCCGCCGCTGCCCAGCGCCCGGCTCCTTTTCCAGCTGTCCTAAGGGAAGAGAGCTGGAGAGCCAGCAGCTATCTAGGACTCCTTCATTTTATTGACTAACTCGAGCCTATTTGGAAAAGGTACTTTGCACTCTTTTCCGCGCACACCCTCCACCCCCTACTGCGGTTCTCAGCAGAAACTAATTAAACCCACTCGCCCTTGGTGCAGCCTAAGACAGTGTATGAATATTTCAGTGTCTCGCAGGCAGCCCTGTAAAGCGATCGCTGTGTTGTAAAGAGGGGTGCGAGAGGAGGAGGAGGAGGGTTAAGTTTGCCGCTGCGGTTTTTGTTTTGGTTTGGTTTTTTTGGATGCTGCTGCAAGGCGACTTGACGCATTCCGGCACTGGCTCCTACTCCTAAGCGGCGCGTCTCGCCCGGAGCAGGTAAGGAAAGCCCCTTCTCCCTGCCGCTGTGACACTCGATTTCGGACGGTTTGGGTCTGGGATGTCGACCTCCCCACCTTGTTTCTCTCTCTCTCGGTTACCTTTAGCTGCTGCAAAGCAGGAGAGGAGATGCTTTGCTCCCCCTCTCCTATCCCCCCCCCCCCTCCCCCAGTTGGTGTGATGAAGTTGTCAGTGCTCAGCTAAGTCTCCACAGCGGGGAGCGCGGTGCTCGGGAGACTCCTTGCAGGAGCTGACCCCGCTGAAGTTGCCCGAGGAGCCTTCCCGATGAGTTCGGGGCACCTTCATGCCTCGGAGGCCTTGGTGCATGTCCGGGGATGTGTAGGGACGCGTAGAACTCCGCATGTGCTGCCGTAGTGGGCAGAACGGGATGTTCCTGCTGGTGTGAAAGCCAATCCATTGCGCCTGTGTGTGTGTATGTGGAGGGGCTTGGGGGCTGGTTTATTCTGTTTCTCTCCTCCCTGGCAGCCTCCATCCTGCAAGTGAGCTTTATGCCTTCGAAGCAGAGTGTTTCCATCCCTCCCTCCCTCCCCAGCGCAAAAGAGGAGAGGACCAGGGCAGTGGCGGTGGTGGCGGGGGGGGGGGGGGAAGGAAGAGGCAGGTGATGGAAATTTGCTGAGTTGGCATTGCAAGGACTCGCCTCCCAGCCAGCCCGTGATTTATATATTTATTTCTATATTTATTTATTTATTTTATGTGTATGTGCGTGTGTGTGCGTGTGTGTGCGTGGTAGCTTCGTGACAGCAGCTGCGGCGATGGTCGAGCCGGCGAGAAAAGTGGACGGATCGAGTTAAAGGCTAAAGGAGACGGCTGGGGAGGGGAGCCCCAGCCTGGGGGTGCACTCCATAGACCTTCAGCCTCCCGGTTTGGGGGACAGGACCCCTCACCTTACCTGCCCTCTGCCCCCCCTAAAGGTACTTCTTCCCTCTTTCTTCACCCTCCCATCATCCCTGATGCCTCTCCCTCCATCCCGCCTCTCTTTTCCCCTTTTGGGTATTTCCATCCTTTAGGCTCCACATCCACCCCTTCCTCAAGCTCCCCATCCCACCTCAACCCCCCCCACCCTTGAACCGCCCTGGGTCTCTCTGTGCTCCTCCATCCTCCTCCTCCTCTTCCTCCTCCCTTTCCCTCACTTCTCCCCTGCCCCTTGGTCCCCTTTCCCGTGTGCCACCATGACCGTGATGGCTGGAGACAACATGGACGAGACTTCTGCGCTACCTGGCCACCCCCAGGATAGCTACCAGCCCGCTGCCCACGACGACCACGAGTGCTGTGAGCGCGTGGTGATAAACATTGCGGGACTGCGCTTCGAGACGCAGCTGAAGACTTTAGCCCAGTTCCCCAACACGCTGCTGGGCAACCCCAAGAAGCGCATGCGCTACTTCGACCCCCTGCGCAACGAGTACTTCTTCGACCGCAACCGGCCCAGCTTCGACGCCATCCTCTACTACTACCAGTCCGGGGGGCGGCTGCGCCGGCCCGTCAACGTCCCCCTGGACATGTTCTCTGAGGAGATCAAATTTTATGAGCTGGGTGAGGAGGCCATGGAGAAGTTCCGGGAAGACGAAGGATTCATTAAAGATGAGGAGAGACCCTTGCCGGAGGGGGAGTACCAGCGCCAAGTGTGGCTCCTCTTTGAGTACCCAGAGAGCTCTGGGCCGGCAAGGGTTATTGCCATAGTCTCTGTCATGGTGATCCTCATCTCCATCGTGATCTTCTGCCTAGAGACATTACCTGAGCTGAAGGAGGACAAGGAGTACACAGTGCACCGCACTGACAACACCACCCAGGTCTACAAATCCAACATCTTCACAGATCCTTTCTTTGTTGTGGAGACCCTGTGCATCATCTGGTTCTCCTTTGAGCTGGTGGTGCGCTTCTTTGCTTGCCCTAGCAAGACTGATTTCTTCAAGAACATAATGAACTTTATTGACATTGTGGCCATCATCCCTTACTTCATCACCCTGGGCACCGAGATGGCCGAGCGGGAGGGCACTCAGAAAGGAGAGCAGGCCACCTCCTTGGCCATCCTGAGAGTCATCAGACTGGTAAGAGTCTTTCGAATCTTCAAACTCTCCCGGCACTCTAAGGGCCTCCAGATTTTGGGACAGACCCTCAAAGCGAGTATGAGAGAGCTAGGTTTACTAATCTTCTTCCTCTTCATTGGGGTGATTTTGTTCTCTAGTGCGGTATATTTTGCTGAGGCTGAAGAACCTGAGTCTCATTTCACAAGTATCCCTGATGCTTTCTGGTGGGCGGTGGTATCCATGACCACTGTGGGCTATGGTGACATGTACCCTGTGACAATTGGAGGCAAAATCGTAGGCTCCTTGTGTGCCATCGCTGGTGTGCTGACAATTGCCCTGCCTGTACCTGTCATCGTGTCCAACTTCAACTACTTCTACCACCGAGAAACAGAAGGGGAAGAACAGGCTCAGTTGCTTCACGTTAGCTCCCCTAATTTAGCATCTGACAGTGATCTCAGTCGCCGCAGCTCCTCCACAATCAGCAAATCTGAGTACATGGAAATCGAAGAGGATATGAATAATAGCATAGACAATTTTAGAGAGGCTAATCTCAGAACTGGCAACTGCACTGTAGCCAACCAAAACTGCGTTAATAAAAGCAAGCTGCTGACTGATGTGTAAACAAAAAACAAAACAAAATCCCCACTCACAGCTTGAAGACTTTAGTGACACAGTCACACTTTGTAGATGCTTTACTGATAGTCTTTGAATGCTTTATTTACCTCGTAAATGCATTGTTGCATTGCAAATCTTTGCTCTGCGATAAAGAAGCTTCCAGGATCCATGAAAGATAAAATTTTGTTTATTTTCAAAAAAACATTTTCCACCTGGTAAAGGATAACCATTTGAACTAGTTTAGTTTTAAGCCGTTATGACACTAGACCTAAACTTTTCCTCTCCCATCTCTTCTCTTTTTATTTTCCTTTTTTTTGGATAAAGTTATCTTAAACTAAGCAAGACAGTTTTTAGAGCTATTAAGAATATGCATGGATTCCAGTAAAAATATTCTGCAAAACTGCACAGTTGCAAGAAAGTGCATCAGATAATAATAGTAAAAAAAAAGATCAGCCAAAACCTGCGGCGAGCATTTGCCGTGGTGTTTATGAAGGAGTGCAAATTTTCCTTCCGCCCCCTCTGTGAAAGATTCCATCCTTCCAACCTACAGATCCACACAGCACATAATTAAAAATCCTACTTAAGCCTGGTCTCTTTTGCTGTCTGTAGAAGAAATATCCTAAAAGGAGAATAACAAACAAAACGGAAGACAAAACATCTGCAATGCTGCTAAGTTCTCTCACAAGCAGATGATAGAAACACACTTTTCCCCCCATCCCTGTTCAGAACTGGATACAAAACTTTAAGCCCCTCTGTTGCAAGATAGCACAATGGAGTTTAATATAAGCATGTTTGAATTTGATACTATTTATTTTATGATCGCATGCTTGAAACGTTACCTCAGACAATAGCGGATAAGCTTTCGTTTGAACTGAATCTTCTAAAAATAGGTCCTTTCTCCTCTCTTTTTTTCATTTCTTTTCTTTTTCTTTTTGATTTGCATTCACCAGAAGTGCACTCCTTAATTTATTAAATCGTTGACTAGTAATTTAAAGTACTGTATTTAAGTGCGTATGTTAGTCAAATGGGAACAATAACTTTTGGAGATCAAAGCATGTTCAAATATTCAGCATTATGGCCTATTTGATTAAAGTGTAACTTGAATTAATTAGTGCATGAATTCAATGATAATAATAATAATGATGATAATAACAACAATAATGATAACAATAAAAATTTTTAAAAATGCGCTTGATAGACTGAGGGCCTGAATGAACTGATTAGAGAAACTTGATTGTTTTCCTGCATTGCTCAGGGAAATGTGTTGGCTTTTGTCCAGGTGTTGTCAGAAAGGAACATATCCCATCCCTTAAAGGGAAAGTTATATGGAAAATAAGAAGTCAAGTTATATATAGCAACACCTAAAAACCTAGTATCCTTTATAGATTAAAGGTGCAGATGCATGCTTTTTGGTGCATTCTCAGAATGTAAATGAAACTTATCTATTATATGCATCCAAATTGCAGCAGCTGGTTTCTTTTGCAGTCATCAGTTGAGACTTTTTTGTATCCCCCCCAGAACTCACTGAAGAGACTCAGCAGATTGATTGAGAGAGTTGCACAGTGCCTTTATCTTACACCCCCCAAAATTGCTGAAAGTGCCTCCAGGAACTGAGTGGATCAGAGACACTGAGGGAAAGGACAGGAAGTCAGTCCACTGTCAGGAGTGTCCTGTGCTTTTTATTGGCACAGCACAGAAGGGTTTAGGGATAGAAAGATCAAGTGTGAGTGAGAGGGATGCAGAAGAGGCGGGCAGAGACCACCAGTGCCCGTGGAATACTTTCCTTCCCCAGCCAGTCTGATGCTGCAGGGCTCTGCATTGGCTTCTGCCAAGTAACTCATAGTTGTGTACATGCAAGGCTTCAGGTTTCCCCAGGCTGTTCACAGAGGCATCACTGCCATCACTGTGTCTGCCCTTCCTTTCCCTGAGGTGGTTTTTGGCAGCTTGTCCCTGCAGGGCAGGGTGCAGGAGGAATAGGAGCCCCGGCATTGCCCAGTCAGGCTACCAGACTGGAGGACTGTGCTCTTCTTTCCCTTAGATTCCCCAGCAGGTAGATGGGAAAGGCTTTGCAGAGCCATCCCATCCCTGTCTGCTCCTTCCCCTTTCAGATCTTGGATCCCATCACAGCCTTTGAGCCATGTTCTTCTTCCTGGTCCCTGATCTTACTCTCCTTCCATCATTTCCTGGTGAGGGAAGCAATGCTAGGAGAAGGTATCTTCTGCAACATGCCAGCCTTGACTGCTAGGCCCTGGAAGATAATAACCTTTGATCTGAACAAACGTAGGCACTAATCTTAATTTTTCAAATGGACAAAGTTGAGGATCTTCATTCTGCACTTAGCATGTGGCCAACTGCTGTTGAACACATCTCCTTCCATGCTGTACAGATCCTTTCCTCCCCTCTCTTTCTGATATATGTATATATGTGTATAAATATATAAATATATATATGTATGTCTGCTCCTGTGTGTGTCACATACGTATGCAGACACATGTATATATGAAATAAAATCGAGGCACTTAGAGTTAAAAACCAACCCTAACTCTGCAGTTACGCACAAGCTTGACCTGCCGGGTTTCCAGAAAGACTTGACTTTATTTCTCACTGTGTGACTTCTGTGAATCTTAGTGATGAGAAAGATCAAGAACTGAGGGATCTCCAACTCCTCCAAGAAGTGCAAAGCATCAGATAAAACAGGGCATTACATCCTCTAGGTAGATGTTGTAAAGCTTCTTTCCTGTCCCCTGCTCACACCCTTGCCCATGGTACACCTCTCTCCCCATTAAATTCCAGTGGTCCTGATCTTCCCAAACTCTTGAATTGTAGGATATGACTTCTGATGTCAAAATGGACTTGAATGCTGCACTCAGCTTTTAAAACCACCACCTGACTAAACTAAACAGCAATAATCAGTTCAGTGCTATGGGACTGATGATCAGAAGGATGCATTTGGGAGATGAGGCCTCTCTTGGGTTCCTTCTGCCCCAGCTGGGTGTGCACACCTTAATTCAATGTGCAGAATGATGATCATTCTGCTTATGCACAGAGGAAAGTGCTGCATGCAGCAATTCTTTGTCAGGAGACCAGGATGGATCATAAGAACTCGTGGTTTGGGGAGCCTGAATGTTGCTTTGTCCATTTTTAGCTCACTGCAAAGGATCTCAACCCATATGGAGTACAGGAATTAACCTCATGTAGCATAGGCATGCATTTTCGACAAGTTTGACACAAAAAAAAACAACCACAAAAACAAGGTTCTTACTCCCTTTACACAGGAGTGCTGAAATGTCTTTGTGGGCCTGAAGGTGCACTTAACAAACTGCCTGTTCTTATCAGCAAGCATCCTTTAAAAATTTTATTTATTTATTTATTTATTTATTTATTCTTTTTCTTTTTATATCTCTTCTTTTAATTTTTTTTTTCTTTTGGCCCTTATGTTTCTTTTTGCCAAGTGGACTCTAAGGGTTTTTTTAAGTAACTGGAAGAGGACTGGAAATGAGCTGATGGCCAGTGTAATGCTTCTCTGAAAGAGTCAAGAGAATTCCTTTGTAGGGACCTCCTGGAAGCGATGCCCATGTTATGCTGGATAGGGAACCCAGTGGACATGGCAGCCTTTAATTTGATGAGGGGAAGGCAGCTTTTCCAGCAGAAGGAGTCATTCCCCAAGCCCCCTCTGCCACCCAGTGCTCTGTGCCTCTCTGTGCTTCTTAGCTGGTCCTGTGCAGCTTTTCCTTCATCCACTCAGGGAAAGGGGCGAGGGAATTCACCTGGCAAGGGCAAGGCAGCAGTGCACTGCAGTGCAGAGGCAGGAATGAAGCAGAGAGTCAGCAGGCAGGAATCCCATAGGCTGGTATCCCTGCCAGAATTCCCCATCTGGTTCTACCATTCTTAGCTCTGGAGCACTAGGGAGAGGCAGAGGAGCAAGGGTGAGAGTGGAAATGAAGGACTCTGCACCCTGTTCCTTCACAGAATTGAGGTATTGCTGCAAGACTGCTGAGAGCTCAAACCCTCTGTGTGGCAGCTCCAACACAGCCCATGAAATGGATTTAGTCACCTTCATGAGGAAGTCAGGGTGCAGTAAGCCAGGCTGTGAGTTCACAGCATCCTAGCAAACCTCTGCAGATTCCCTGCATGGGGTCTGCTAAGCCTTATCTCCACTGGGGACTTCAGGAAATTAATCCGAATTAATGAAAGGTGTGCATCTAAAGTAGATTTGTTAAACTGCTTTAAAGCCCAGCATGGACATTCTGTTGCAGTATTAAAGCAACCTTAATCTGATTTGGAGTCATTCTTTTTGAAAGGGAAGTAACCTGAATTGAATTAAGGCTGCTTTAATTCCGAACACAATGGGGCTTAATGCAGTTTACCTCATCTGCCTCACAAGTCCATTCAGACAGATAAACCTGTAGTAAATAATCATTGGATGTACTGGAAGTCATCCCGTTGTGCAGGGGGTGCCCACGTGCACCAAAACTCTCGGTACACGAGTGCTGCATATTCACAGCCTGGCTTTCTGAGGGGAAAACTAACACTTGGTCCTGGTGCCAGTTCTGATGAGTCCCTCCCTTTGTTCCTGGTTTACACCTTTGTGAGGATAATCCACTCTGCTGCCTTTGGGGAAGCTGAAAACAATTGTGGCCCAAGGAAATTAATTTCCACTTTACAAAACTGCACACGTGCTAGCCTGATGTACTATTAGTCACATAGAGTAGCACTTGTGAGACAGAACAAAGTGCTGGAGACAGGACAAAATTCAGCCAGGGTCCTCTTGTCTGCAGCTGTGGTTTTTGCCCAGGCAGAGATTCCAGAGATCAGACCCTTCTCAGCAAACCAGCTGTGTACCATCCATTGTAGGCTGCAGCAGCCCGAACTGGCAGCAGTGGCAACTCGTATTGACAGGGTTTTTTCTTTACTAAGGGACAATGGTTTTCAGTAGGCAGAAGTACAGGAAGTTAGTTTCTACTGTGAGAGAGCTGAAGCCCAAGTGTAACCTCAAAACCTGATGATTTTGAGGAACTGAGGGCAAGTTTCACTTTTCCATAGTCCACACTTGAACAGTGCAGTTTCTTATATGTGCATTTATTGAACAAAACACAACCAACACTAGGTCAGGAACATCTGAAATTTATTAGAAAAAGGAATTTTAGAACAAAATCTTCTGCATACATATGCAATCCATGGAGAGAATGTATTCCTTTCCAAATACTACCTTGATAACTGTTGCTTGAGGGGTGCCATTCTGGATTAATCTTTTCCCCTAA